AAGTTCAGGTTTATGAGACAGTAGTGAGAGCTGCTGTGATGCATGGTGACGTACAGAGACGGTGGTTTCTGTCTAATAGACAGAAGACTGATGCTGAGATTTTGGACAGGATCGGAAGCGAGCAGATCAGAGGAACAGTGACGAGAGAAAGGATGTTACAGATGGAGTCGCGAGAGTCTTGTGACACGGAGATAGAGTGTAAAATAAGGTGTGAAAGGCAAGGAGGCAGGGGATAGGGTGAGATAAAGGCAGATGATCTGCCGCGGCGCCCCCTGAAGGGAACAAACGAAAGAAGATAATTCAAATATATATACGCCAAGAATACATTTAAAAATAAAAAAAAATGGCTCCATATGAGAAGAGGCAGTTTACACACTACGGCTTCTATGGTAGACCTTATTGATCTCATTTTACAAAGCGAAAAATATCACGGCATTTTTGATCAGATTCTAAAACTGAAATGACATGAAAAGATTATCTACATGTTTCAGACTCGTATCAAATCTGGGCTCATTTCCTCTCCTTTGTAGCAGCATGGAGGAACACCAAACCTGCCTCAGTTCCATTATATGTGTGAAAGACAGACTGGGAAAGTGATAGAAGGCGGTGAAAGGGGAACCACACAAAGGCGCGCACGAGTGTTATGAGCTGTATCTGTGAAGAGTTTAGCAACGTGTGAAAAGCCGGGATGCGAGTTTACCGAATGGATGTGGTTGACGGGGGAGGTGTTCAGAGGATTTTATTTATTTTATTGCCGCCACACTGGTGCTGTATCTTTCTACAAAAACAAAACAAATCTGCCTCGGAAAAAGCTTCTGTGAGAATTTTAATCACGTTTGAAGAAACCAAAGGACAGTATTGACTGCTTTTTTATTGGGCAATTCCCAAGCCCACTCGGAGCAAGCTAATTATTGACACACACAGACACACACACACACACAGCCTCGTACAGCCTCACCACTCAGTTTCTGCATCACGACTCTTCTCCCCATCCTCCCAAAATCATCACCTCTACCGCAGTATTTGCTATAGATTTTTTAACGTTTTTTTTTTTTTTTCCCCACATGAAGTTGAAAACATTGTCAACAACAGGGGTGTCAACAACAGGGGTGTCAAACACACGGTACGTGGGCCAAAACCGGCCCGCTTGATGAATTTTGAAAATACAAAAAATACGCACTTCATGTTCAGGAAATGTTTTGTAATATTATATTTCATCATAATTAATTTAAAAAATAATTATATTTACATGTAATTAGGATTTATGTACTATACTTCTTTGCATAAAAACAAAGGGGAAAAACGTATTGTTATTTATAGGTAATTATGTTATAATTGTACTGGTCTGACCCTCTTGACAGCTAATGATAATAATTACAAGTCACTTCTTTTTTATATACCTTATTGGGAAATAAGGCTATTTATTAAGGAATCGTAGTATGCTAGTCTTATTTTTCTAAATATTTATTTCTCTTTTTTCAACATTAACTTTAATTCTCTGTGTATATAAAAGGCTTTAAAAATGATACTAGCCTGCTAAGCTAAATTTAAGCTCAGCAACAATATGGAAAAATCTTATTTTTCAAGTTTCCCATTAATTAGCATGAACAGCAGCTTTTTTTTCAAGTCTCTCATTAATTAGCATGAACAGCAGCTTTTTGTTTGTTAATGTTTTATGATTTTATATTATGTTGTTAAAAGTCATTGCAAAAAACTGTACACCTGCTATTATGTTACATTTGATCCAAAAAGGAAAAACAGTGAAAGAGTCGGTAGGAGAATGATGAATGGCCTCACGGCTCCTCTAAGACACTGATACAGCGCGGATAGCTTCAGCTGATGTGGCAGCTTTCAGCATAACTTACAACCTGCCATGCTGAAGACCAGACCCGTCACACACTGAAAATGTTCTGGTGACGGTCTGAGCCGAGAAAGAAGGCACTACAATGGGTTATACATACTGTTCATTGTCTCTTGTTATATTAGACTCAAAGCTAACGTGGCAGCTAAAGTACAGGTGCTAATGTTTTGTCATCGAATCTTTTCCTTTGTTCCTTTTCAAAAACATCAATTCTTACGTTTTTTTTTTTACTGGAGCTCGTATGGCTTGATGGTGTCCTCGGTTTACACCGTCCTTGACCTACACCGGTTCTCCCTTAAATTAATTAAGAACGTCTTGATCCATTATTCCTACTTACCGCATTAAACCAATTTCGCACGGGGGCTAGTTGGCGAGTGGTGCGGATGAATACGTCGTCAAGTGGCGCTGTGCGCGGAAGATACATCGGATTGTGCAACATTCACTTTCTTTTATTTGCCCTTCATTATGGCTCCCGGGTGTAAGTCAGACTTTTGTGATGTTTCCAGGGCGTAGATTATGATGTTACCACTGTGTTAGCTATGTTAGGTGAGTGACTGAGGTACTAATGTATGTGAGTCCCGACTTACGATGGAAATCGAGTTTTGTCGCGTAATGGGAACGTAATTTCGGCCTAAGTCGAGGGCCCCTGGTATACCGCAAATTCTCCATTTAATGCAGCGTACTGTATTCATCTGTGGTCTTTTATGGAAGGGCTGTTACTTCAGTCTTTGTGGCAGGGATGCGGAGATACCGAATCAAGTATCAGTATTAAGCCGGACTCTTCATTCAAATACTCGTACTAAAAAAATCTATGCCAATCCTGAGACTTGATACTCCATAATGTGTTTTCACCACCAGTGGCTGCGAGCTGGTCGGCGAGTTTTACTGCACTAATGTTCGGAGATAGTTTAACCTTCAGGTCAAAGACAGGAGCAAGGTATTACTGTAAAATGGGTTCCGCAAGAATACGAGCAATTAAAAAGAAACAAACAAACAAAAAAAAACCCCTAGAAGACGCAGAGCAGTGAATATGCTGATGTCTCTTTTCAGTTACGCGTCACAGTGAGTAGATGAGGTGTCTGCGCGGCACCAACTCATTCTTTTGGTGCCAGTTATTTAACCAACAATGTGTGTGTTCATTTGTTTACCGAAAACAGGAATACAGTTCAAGTGACACATTGTTCACGGGAAAGCAGGAGAGCGCGTTTTCGATTAAAATGCTAAAAGTCGGCTTGCTCACTGTTCAGTTAGTCGTGTTAACTATGCAGAAATATATACATAGTATTCTTTAATATAATGTTTAACATAGCATTTATGCTTAGTTTCAATGATATATTTTTCAAATAAGACTTTCTGTTGAAGAAATATGTTTAGGGTTGGTCACAGTAATGTGAAAAAAAAAATGGCTGTTAATTATTTTCCTGCTTGGTGTCCTCACTGTGGGTTACACCCACACAGCATGTTAACTCATTTCCCCCACAGAGCAGTGACAAGTACATACAGTCTCACTGCCTTCTAAAACATGGCATATTTATTGTTAGCCAACCTAAAGAAGTATCGTTAGGTTTTTGGCAGTACTTCTCAAATAGTGGGTCGGGCCCTACTGGGGGAGAAGGGGGGGCGCGAGGGGCTTCCAATGGAATATGGCACACATATAGACATAAGTGTACCACTGCTGTAATGCTTGAATGATAACATGCCTCCAGCCACTAGGTGGCAGCAACTCATACAGTGGTTTGTACAGATAAAAATATACATGTTATCAGGTTCTCTGGATTTGAATTTGCGGGGGCGTGAAAACATTTCTGTCCCCAAGACACGGGGGGACAACTCTACTGTGTTTGATTTGTCTGTTTAATAATCTTAAAAACTTTAAGAATTTAACTCCAAAAAGTAAAACAAAGTAGGACCGCTGCCTCTACTGGTAACAGTCCTCCATCAGCAGCTTAACTAACGCCTGGTTGTGCTTGCAGGACTGGGTGTGAAAGGGCGAAGAAATCACTGTATATAAAGGCCTTGTTGGTAACCACGGCGACCGTCCGTGACCTTCAGATCTTCTGGCAGTGTGGCGTTAGAAACATTCACACAGTCTTTTTTGCTAATAACATTTTTTTTTTTTTGTGAATACAAAATAACTGGCTTTAGTTGATGTGGTTTTAGCAGAGCGTTATCATCGCAGTTTTTGTAAATAGCGTTAATTTACAAATTACAAAAAAAAACAAAAAAAAAAAACGAGCTGCCTCAAATACCTTTTGGAATGAGGTATTTTGTGGGACAATGTTGTGAGCACTGTTATTACTTTTTCCGCTTGGGATGTTGAGAAAAGCTGATACACAGAAGCTGGGTCACTAAACACACTCCGCGAGTATTATTCTTTTTTTATTTTTTTTTCAAAAACCCACACATTTACAGTATGAAATACTGAATTGAAATGCTGTAAATTAAATAGAAGAAGAATTTGTGGCAAACCTTGAACTATGCTCTTCCGTCTGCTAGACGGTGTCTGAAAATCAGTCGATCGGAAAAATAAAGGATTTTTGCGGTTTGCGAGAGTAGCGTTTTTAAAGTGCTTTTATTGAGGCTAACATTCTCTTTTTGCCCTTCGACATATTTTTGTCTTCTATATTGGTACAACAACTTGTAGTGAACAAGTTAAGTGCAAGAAATGTATGTGCGTTCCTTTTTGTCTTCTATATTGGTCAATTGGTTCAATTATTTATTCATTCGGTAACTAAAGGTAGGTACAACAACTTGTAGTGAACAGGTTAAGTGCAAGAAATGTATGTGCGTTCCTAAAGATAATTTATAACTATGGAAGGCTCGATCCGATACTCAAGATCGATATTGGCCAAAATGCCAAACTTAACTTTGCGCGACATGCCGTAAAGAGTGACGCTATCGCCTCAGCAACAGCAGCCCGCGGCACGCCAAAGGAGAAAATAAGGTATCGGATTGATATCGACATCGGTAGATACTCCAAGTTACAGTACCGATATCGGACATGAAAAAAATTCTATGGATTCATCCCTATTTATACACCAGCAATATGTGCCCGATACGTGCATATCGCTGTTTAACTACGTAATAAACATGCTAGCCTTTAATTACGACTGCAGTGCAAACGTATTCGGTTTGTTCATTATGGGCTAACCAAAAAAAAAACCAAAACCTTCGCCCTACGCATCCTACTAATTTCGATTGATTGTAAGGTAATTGAAAAAGCAGCGCCCCCTAGTGTGGCAAAGTAAAATTAGAAAAATTTGAATATTATCGAACATCATAAAACGCTCAAACTACGGGTTAGCCTTCTCACATTTGACACTCTGTTGTCTTCGTGTCAAGATTATACACCAGCGTGTCCAAGCGGTGACATCACTTGGGAATCGGGACGGAAATTGTGACTTAAGCGGACACAAACACGCTCACAAGCACCACACACGCGGGGCCTTCATTATTGGACTGCCTCTGCGACTAATCAGTGCCTGAGCTCCTGTGCTGACATGTAACATCTTCACATATTAAAAAAAAAACTACATCTGCATGTGTGAAACCGGGGCAGGCAGCTGCTGCTGTAGCCTTGGCATTATAAAGCATTTGCAGGCAGGAAAAAGCCAGAGGGAGACACTGCATCAAAAAAAAAAAAAAAAAAAAGAAGAGAGAGAGAGAGAGAGAGAGGATATCCCCATGTATGCTGTGTGTGTGTGCATGTGTGGTGGAGCAGTGCACACAGCAGTCAAGCGACTAAAAGCAGGCAGCCAATCAATTCACCTGCACCAACAGGGAAGGTAAAAAAACGAAAAACCAAAGTGCACACTGGCAGCCCTGTGTTATACAGAGGGTTTCCCTCTCTTGCTGCTGCTGCTGCTGCTGCTGCTGCATGAAACAAACGTGCAGCTAACCTTTCTGTCCGACGCGTTCATTGAGAAACTGCAGGGTACGTCCTGCTTCGGCTATTCCCATGCGGACTGCACTGTCACCACGACTGGGGAGGTCTAAAGAGGGGTTGAAGGGGGGGGGCAGTGTGCATGCAGGGCCTGGCTGTCATGCAATAGCTGCAGTGTCAGTGTCAGTGTACTGGAGGAGGAGGGAGGAGGGTGGGGGGGGGGGGAGCCCTTTAATGTTGTGTTGGGGTAGCTCACGGGCACCTTGTGGAAAGTGCTGTTGGAAAGCACCGCCTGTCTGATGTCCTCGAAGATGGTGATGATATCATCCAGGAGACAGCGCTTGTCCCTGTGGCTCAGGACGCAGAGGTGCGCGAACGTGTAATTAAACCCCTTGTAATTAACGCGTAAATCCAGCACCTGCTTGTGGACCTGGAGGACCTGGTCCGCCAGCTCCAGGATGTTTCCCCCGGACTTGGCGAGAAGGATGAGCCTGCCATATCTACCCGGCGTGTGCAAATCCGAGTACAGCTTGTGCTTCGACTGGTCGATGGGAAACAGGCTGTTGGCGAGACTCCGCTCGATCTTGGCGAGACTGTGAGTCGGGGCGACCAGCACCTCCAGGTCCGTTTCCGGCTTGAATCGGCTCAGGACTGTAGATCCGAAAATGATAGTGAGGACTGCGGGGACGGTGAGGAAGAAAACGGGGTGCCTGCTAACGAATAAGCCCAGCCAGTAGAACGAAGCCTTCAGCCCTCTGTGGATCACTTGCCGCAGCATCCTCCACAAAATCCTGCTTGCAGATGCCCCGTTTCCTCCGATGAAGCACATGTGACATCAGACTCCGTTCCCCCGGCTTTAGTCTAATTCGTTAGAGAATATAACAGCAAGCTACAACATCACACCATGCACACACACACAGGCACTCACTCACTCACACACACGCACGCTCATTCACACTCTCACACACACACACACACTCGCACTCTCACTATCTTACATGCGCACGCACGCACGCACCACAACACCTGGAAAAACAGCACTGCAGCAATTCACGAGCAACGCACACACGCATCCACGCACAGACACAGACAGACAGTCAGCCGATCATCGTGCACTGGCCGCCGGAGACAAGTCTCCTGCCGTGAGTCTGATCTCAGGCCATTCCAACTCCATGAGACGAATAAAAGCCTCCCCCCCCCTCCTTTTTTTTCTTTCCTTCCTTTCCTTGCCTCCTTTCGCTGCACCGGCTGCAGTGGCAGCAGCAGCAGCAGCAGCAGCGGCGGCGTGATGTGCAAGTGCGCTCAGACTCCCGTGTCTGCTCCTCTGCTGCCTCCGAAGCTCTCACGGCGGCGGCGGCGCAGCCTGATTTATGCACTTCAACGGAAGCATGTGTGCGGAGAACTGTGAGGATGGGAAGAGAGGGGGGAAAAAAAGAAGAGCAGGGATGGAAGGGAGAAGTGTGGGAGGTTTGTGTCAGAGGGTGGGAGGGGGGGACGGGGGGGGTGTGAGGTAGTTGGAAGGGGCTTGCCTGGTTATTTTAGGAACGAGAAAGAGGCAACAGGCGGGATGAGATTTGCAAAGTGTTCCTGCAGGTGGCTGCAAGGAAGGCGAGCACTTGCAGCAGGGATGAGTCAGTGTTGGCATCATGAATGGGGAAAACCCGCCTTGGTGAGAGCTTCATGCAGGAGGCCAGACGAGGCTGTGGTGACTGGACTCTCTCTCTCCCTCTCTCTCTCTCTCTCTGCCTCCCTTACACACTCACTGTCCCCTACGCACGCACGTGTGTGCACCTATTCTTGTTAGGACTCTGCACTGACCTCCAGTCCTCGGTGAGCCAATGAAAAACATTACTAACCTCCATAGAAAATTAAAGAAAATAAATATATATATATATTCAAATTGACATTAAATTTAATTCATTTTTACTTCTTAACGTCCTTTGCCATGAAACCGATTGATTTTTTTAAATAGGTCAAGGGGTCGACCAGTACAATTATTACATAATTAACTGTAAATAACAGTAAGTCGATGTTTCCCCCCCTTGTTTTCATGCAAACAAGTACAAGTATATTGTTTATTATTTTTATTTTCAACGGGCCAGATTGAATTGACCAACGTGCCAGTTTTGGTCCCCAGGCCGTATATTTGACAACCCTGCTATAGAATAATAGATATTTATTGAGGGAACACAGGTTAATGACAGGAGAGGCTGATTTTAGTAATTAATTTCCAATCATAAAAATTACATTTCAAGTTTATTTACAAAAAAAAAAGATTTTAAATTGTTTTTTTTTCACATTTTTAATCCCAGTCATACACACAAACATGACCGTATGCAGTTTAAAGCACTAGTGTATTTGGAATTTAAGTCCCGCCCCATATATACATATATATATATGTATATATGTATATATATATACATATAAACATATATATGCACATATATATATACACACACATATATACATATATATATATATATATATTTGGGGGAAATGTAAGTAATGATTTAAATTTTTTTTTTTTTTTAGCTAAAATAAAAATTGGGGGCCGGGTTTGCTGCATAATTCTCATAACCAGCAGCAGCTGTGTTTCCTGGGCACGGAGCATTAATCAACAATGGACACTGCACATTTTCTTCCTTACTCACAATTAGTGTGTCTTCACCTATTGCAGAGCCCACACAAACGCCGACGCACCGAAACACATTCCGCCACCTGCACATGTTTTTATTGGTCTTCAGTTTAGTTTGGTAAGTGGAGGAGGAATCTAAATGATATTTTCTTTTCTAATAATAAGCCAATGAAAAACAATTTTACTTCTTTGTAACAGAAGATTTGGAGATTGTAACACGCGGAGTTCCTCCGGCCACACATAAAGGATTGGGTTTGAAACCTTCTGAGAGTGTATCATATCCTTAGAATATCCGGGTCTACTGAGGATTTGGATTATCTCATGCTTGCTATATGGTAAGTAGCGTTTGTGTACTCGTGGGTTTAGAGTGGTAATCATCGTCTCTACAAAGATCATCTCAGAATCTTCCGTGAATCTACTCACCATTCCATTGTAGAATCAGCCTTTGGCATATGCTATAAGCGTATACTATAATATTGTTTCCCAAAGACTGGGTCGCGACCCTCAAGTGGATTGCAAGAGATTAATTCTTTTTTTGGTCGTCTTGCATCATGTTTCCCAGGAGTTCACGGTCATCGCAACAGCTGTCTGTTTAAAAGCGCCACCTGTGGTAACGTGTAATGTTGTAATTATTTTATTGACTATTTTGTTCCGATATTGCTGGTTCAGTTGACTGTTGAAAAGAAAAAGAACTGGGCTACATTTAATGTCCAAATCAATTCAATTACTGTTTTTCGTTGTTTGAAACTTGAGTAACACTAATTGTTCAGATATCACCCAGTCAACAAAAAAATATTCTCATTAATGTTCAAGTACGCCTTTATTTTGTGATTTAATAATTATGTCTATTGACTTGGGTCGTGAAGGTTTGTGACTTACCGTATTTGGGAAATTCTTGTGTGAACTTGTGTAGATGTGCTGTTAACAAGCATGTGGTTCCTTTGGGAATCGAACCCAGGACTCTGTGCTCCCGTAGCAGGCGTGCTAACCGCTACACTTTGGAACCCACCATGTGTGTTTTCTTTTAATTCATAATTAAAATTTTTTTTTTTTTTTCTTTTCTTTTAATTCATAATTAAAATTGGCGACCCCAATTGATCTCTAGGTGACCCCAAATGTGACCCGTGAACCTAAGATTTAAAAACAGTGATATAAAGATAATTGATCTCCAGGTGACCCCAAATGTGGCCCGTGAACCCAAGATTTAAAAACAGTGATATAAAGATATACCTTTATTTCATGTGTTAATAAGGTACATATACACTTGATATTTGAAGTCTAAATCCAAATAAGTGGTTTAGTTTAAATGAATGTAAAAATGCAGTCGAGGCAGGTGCCAGTAAAAATAGCAACCAACAACGATAGCAATAAAAATATTTATAAATATTCATGAATAAATAAAAGCTCTGCTCTGGGA